GTCAAGATACTCGTACTAAAAGGCTTCAAAATAGTCAATGACATGACGTATTGATGAGCCTTTGGTATTATCGTGTCTCAAAATTGTGAACTATTTGACGTCAAGGTGATGAAATGACCGATTAAAAATATTTACAAAAGAGAAAATCAATGAAGATGTAGTTATCTTGAGCGACAGTTCTTGTCTTGCACCTCTTGAAGACAAAATTGATTGAAGGAAGGAGCCCTGCACTACATCAGACAGCGTGATTTGAACCAGTTCTAACAGGGCTATGATTGTACAATCGGGGTAGGGAGAGAATAAGATTGTATTTGGTTAGAAAGTTGTATGAGAGAAACAAGGAGAAGGGAATTTAGTAAATAGACTATGAAGGCAAGATTTTTATTCATTTAGACGAAGCGCCTTCAAAGTGCGTTATAAGTCAACATCGGTATAGAGTAGTTGGAGGTTATTACTATGCAAACATTACCTATCACGAGCCAACGTATTTTCAAGAAGAAAGCATGTGTTTGCACCCAAAATCCAGCTGAAATAACCCACCGTCTTCTGGTCCAAATATATCTCTCTATTAATGGGTTATTTATTTTTGCATAATTTTTGCCTTTAAAGGAAATATTTGATGAGCTTTGTCTTATTTTACTACAGTATGTGGGAATCAAGATATATCTCGTAGGGGGTTTTGGAGCTCAGAGGATACCAAACTTCAGCTATTTTATACCAAAGCCATTTCAATATCATTCGCCTTCTAGATCATTGAAAAGAAAAACAGTTTACTCCATCGCTTTTGATTTAAAACTAAAGACTATTACGTGGTGCCTACCGGTGCAATACTAATAGTAAAATTTGTACAACCAAATCCTGAAAACAAATGAAGTGAGACAACTTGAAACATCGTCCCTGTTTATCATTAGTTAAAATTTTCATTTTTCGATTTCACTTGTATTCCACAGATAGAAAATAATAAATTATCGTTTTACTGCGGGTATTAACGATATGAGTAATAAATTTTAACGTCTTATCCTAATGGCTGGGTTACTCATCTTAAGACCAAACTGCACTACCTCTGTTCAGTTAAAATTGAATCAGCAAATAGGAGAAGAACAACGAATTTACATTAAATGGCGATTTATCATCTGTCACTTCATTTGTGATGGTATATAAACCATTACTTCTTTGATTAAAGGTACGATTATTTGATAGCAATTATAATGTGTAAGCAACTATTGCATTATCTGCCAGTTCTAACAATTTTGCAAAGATGTTTTAAAATTCTGCGTAACTTTGCTATTTTAATGTCAAATCATCAATGATCTTCATTTCAGATCCATATCAAAGCTACAATAAGAACCTTCCGTAAGCCATTATACAGGCATAGTTTTTGCAATTGATATAATCGTTTGGCTTAAAGTGATAATCATGTGAATTAATCCTATTTTAGGCCTGTTCAATACTATAAATGTAAGTGTTCCAAAGAGGTACATAATTTTAATATGACATGATATCGACGTGACAGTATAATTTATTAGGAAAATTGAGTTGTTCACAGATCTTTAAAGAAACGAATATAATATTCCAATGTGTTCGAGAGCAAATAGCACAATAAAACAAAGCTCAGTTAAGACCAAATCTATATAGTAATATAAATTGTAATTATGCGTAAATCATAACCCGTTTAGACTAATAACCTGATTCAAAGAAAAATTTCTAAATTTTAGCATCACCACAATACGATGATTCATCTCTATTCCTTGCTGGTAATATGGATCCTTATCAGAACAGCACAAGTATCTATCCAGATCAGCCTAGACCTCAATAAACAGGGCAAATATTTATTTCACTGACATTCCGATACAACTCTAATCATAACCCTGTTACGTCTGAAATAGATACTGATTACCTTCATTTGTCTTATTTGTAAATTCTAATGAAAAAGTTCAATAGAAGGAGTAGTGAATCGGTTAGAAAACACGCTTGCAAGTGATACAAAAATTGACCAGAATAAGTTGGGTTCACTGAATCTCATTTACATATACGAATTTGCGCAACAGACGTGAGATTGTAAAAATAAGCATGATTTAACCTATGCTAGAAATAATAAAATATAATGGAGCTAAAAGAGCGACGAATGGCATTTAGCAAAGGAAGTTTGGAGAGAAGAGAAAACGCGGCAAAAGAAAGGTAGGCTTATAGATGAAATGGTGATGTTAGAGAAATCTGGCCAAACTACTACTCTTATGTCAAGCAACAAGTTGAAAAGATACATTGGCTACATAGGTAGAGTGAGATAATTGAAAGTGTTAAAAGTAAAGCGGAACTTGGTTAATGTGCCAATTGGTGATTTTAACTCCGCATACAAACTCTCTAAACGAGTGTAAGGGTAAGCCCGGGTCGTGATACCAAAACCGTGGTGGTTAAATAGATAATACTGACAAATTTCAAGATTTTGATCTAAGACACGGTACTCAGTATGGCAGTATTCTTTAATGCTTTAAACACTCAGAAAAATTCGTCCGTGTGTTGAGTTATCAAAAGGTCTATGTATAAGGGTTTAATTCATTCTGTTATATATCTGGTGGGGAGAAGATTTACTTTTCGACAATATATTTGATGAGAAGTAAACAAGCAGTAGTTGGAGACACAATTAGATGGTGTAAACATTTGCAAGAAAGTTAACTTAGAATTGAAGCACAAACAAAAATAAGTGACTAAACAAAGACCTCAAAAACATAGAAAGAAGTTCGTTAACTTCGTTGGCGTTTGTCATTGGCTAGAATGGGTTGAATTCCAAAAGATTTAAAATATGGATAGAGCAAACAAACGCCCACATGATCCAATTATTTGAGGGATCGAATTCGTTAGGCATCTAAAAATTCCGAATTTAAGCATTACCTTAACTTTGAAAATTTTGATTCCTTCAGTGCTGCCGAAGCCATGAGTATCAAAGAACGATTTAAGTTGACTTCATAACGATTTGTGCGGCGTCAATATAAAGCTCCTGTGATGTTTCCCGATTCAAGTTTATCAAAATACACTTGAGATTGCTTATATATAACTAAATATTAAAATTTAGGGTATTAAAATTGTTTTAGGAACATCTAATTGGAGCTTTTCTTCTAATTTTGCTTGATTTTGATTTTGTGGTGCAATTCGACTTTTCATCGGTCAATTACAGAGCAAATGCTTGTAGGCATGTTCATTAGAGGCTTAATGTGCTGACCTGGCTCAAAGTATGCAAAATGGAGATAAATTTAGGGGCATAGTGGGACATGATGCGCTTAACGTAACCACACTCTTCATTTATCGTAGTTAAGTGCCGAAAAATTTCAAGCACAGCCTATGATTGTGTCAAGAGGCTACTTATTTGTATTAAGTAGAGAATAAATTATTAAAACATTTTGCCCCTTTTTAAGCAGTGATATAGACAGTTAGCAAATACAGGTCGCTATTCAACTTTAAAATTCGATCTTAATATTCACTATGTTTCAAATGGAATATTTGGTGCTCCAACAAATTAAAATAAACATAACCGACTTGACCTTTATTATATTCCATAATCTTATCGTTCACACGGACCTTTCTCAACTTGTTTGACTAGGAGTTGTGTTGTATTACCCTCTTGTAAGCTGGAAAAGTGTTATAGGATTAGAAGGAGGAATCGGAGGGAAATTGATTGAGGAAGAGGGGTCTAAACTAATGGGAATAAAGGAAGTGATAGTTGAATGACTTCGCATTCTTAGTTCGGTGACAAGTATAGGAGAAGCATGTACTATGTTTGTAGTTAATAATACGCAGTTAATAAAAAAGCTATTTGAGAAAGAAGAGACTGAGGCTGATAACAACATCGAAACCTTAGGTTTGAAAGGGGCTGATAAATTAGATCAAAATAAAATGGTAAGTCGCATTTTTAGGATCACATTTGCCAGATCTAGATTCTTGACAATGCAATAAAACCAATTATTTGACTTAATATGATTAGCTACAAACTGCGTATATTAAGCCCCTCCATATTGTGATACCACAAAATTTCAAAATGTGTAAGACTAGAATATTGGTGATCATTATTCAAATTGAACCAATTTCTCGTCTTGTTTTCAAATTTCATGTTTCCGTGCTTCTGTGATTTCAAACATGCCATTCTCAGTTCCCTTAAATAATATTTCAGTAACATCTTTTCTATATTCTTTACTAGACCATACTCTTGATCCCATTTTAGATATCGATCCAGGAAATTCAGCGACTTATGCAAAGTAAGTCTACAGTGTTGGTTATACGTTTTTTAATAAAATATATTTAACCAATTTTTGTATTATAGAGTGTATAATGCGATATATTTCGAAGGTAGTGAAAAACCTTTTTCCGATTAATTTTTGATTCATCACGATTTATTGTTGTTATGAGCGCTAACTCATAATTTCAATAATATTATCATTCCTTATTTCTGCCCTTTATGCGTAATTGCGCATTAAAATTTATATTGTTTTACGATTTTCAAGTCATCAATCAAATATTCAATATTCATGATAGACCTTAATATAATGCTAGGCTTCGAGCGTATGATAATTAAATTTTCGAATAAATTAATTTACAAATGAAAACCTTTTCATATTTCCGCTATTGTAGATGAAGACCGGAAACTAGATGATTCCAGTATTTACACTGTGGGTGGCGATATCACTCCTTACTCGAATTACACAGTCATTCGTCCAAAACCAAACCCAATAGCGGAAACGACGCCGTATAAATAATTTTTCAGCAAATTCATGATAGTTAATCGTTACCAGTTATAAACTTGAACGTCCTATTTGTCAATCCAATAAAAAATACTGTCAAATATACGCTTTCATTATTTTACTAAAGTTAATGATGCATAATTTAAATGCAGTTTAATTACGATAGATTATAATAACTAAAACAACATTTAAATAACACAGTTATCGAAAAGTTGAAAGTCTATTCATAGTTAGAAAATCTGTAGAACGACTTCACGAAAAAGCAATGATTTATGGATTCACGCCTCCTCGACTTCTCTCATCATAAGTTCCAAATACTCCCGGATTCAGCGGTACATTTGGGTTAGCACCTGCTATGGGTGTTCCTGCGGGAAATGGATTCCTGTTGACAGGAACTCTGCCTGGTATAGTCGGTGGATCTATAAAAAAATAGTCCACTTTGTTTTAACGTCAACTTGTGAAATGTAAACTAATTAACATTCTGTCAACGTTCAAGCGACTTACAAGCTGGATCATAGTACGGCTCTATAATTTGAAAAGGTGAAAGAGTTGAACTCATTAATTTTTTATATTATAAAAGTCATGTCTTACGTGTATATCCGCCAATTATTCTTGGATTATAATACGCTGGAGCAACTGGAGCTAAATGTATAAGAATTCGAATAAAAATTTTGAAAAAATATGATTTTAAAATAGACAAAATTATTACGATTTAGATCTGTCGAGAAACCTGCGTCCATCGTATATGCAGGTACAATATTGTCTTTATCACAAAGCAAAAGAACCATGAACATGAACTTAAATTCCAAAAGCATTAAAAAATGAATTGAAAAATAATATTACTGAGCCGAACGTAAAATATGTGAACTAATTATAAGTTTTCAAAATTCGTGCATTAAAACCTCTTTTAAAATTAATATGTTTGAATTTTAAAAGAACACAAAAATGAAAGTCTAAAATAATGATTTAGGCCTTAAGGTAAAATAAAAAAGTGCGACTCAAATAAAAGCACATGAATTGACAAGATAAGATGCAGATTTACGAGGGTAAGCGTTATAAGCGGCTGGTGCTAAAACCCGAGTTTGTATTGGGGGACCGACATAGCCTAATATATTTCATTAAAAAAGGAAATAAATAATTAAACAATCGAGACATATAAGCATTAGTTAACAGAAAAAGGAATGGTAAGTGTTAAAGCGGATCAACTTTAACCAGGAGAATTTACAGTGATCTGGGTGAAAATAGGAAAAAATCGATAATTATAACAAATATTCAATGTTTTGCTTCTAATATTTTAGTTAAGGCTTACCACAACTAGGCATCGACCTGCAGTGCTTATGATCTACAAAACAGAATTACTTAAAGACATGTTTCATCAATAAGACTTTGATATTTCTCAAAGAACATACGTGACTTCCTTTTTTTCCCTAAAAATTCAACAAATATCCCATGGGTACAAATCAACCAGCGCAATGCATTTAATCAGATTAAAACCTAGCTGCGCTTACCCATTTCGTCAAAAGTTAAGTCGAAATATTACGTACGGAGGTATATTAGACGCTGTTATATACTCAATAACCAATCATTTAATATCCTTCAAGGTTTAAATTAACAGATTAGTAGGATGTTGTATTCTCCCTCCCTCCAAAAATTTATTATTAGAAGTAAAAGTTAATTTATGTGACTAAAATGACGCATACTTTAATCATTTCAATTAAGTCATTCAAAAGTTTTATTTCAAACTAGTCTGAATTATCTATGATTTGAAAGACAGTTTAAAGAATTGCTCCATCTTAACAGGAGACACTAATGTTGGCACAGTAAAAGTATAACCTTATTTATTTTCATAATGATTAAGTTTGTGATAATCAGTAACTTTCAGACTGACTGAAATAAGCACAAGTATAGTTCATGCAATTTTAACGTATCACCAACATTTATTCCAAAAACTCGAATGATTTTACTTTTCTTCAATTCATCCATAAAAAACTATGATTTAAATTTTGAGCAAAAAAATATTGACGTAATTGGCATTTGAATAGAGATTCAATTTAAGTTATACTTGCATTTAACCCTGGTAGTCAACTATTTTATCACAAAAAATGTTTCGTCTTGCTTAGTTAGAATAAGGGCATGACGAATTCAATATTTATTCAGTTTAGTGCCCACATAGCAATATTAAATTTTATGTGAAATAAATCTTAATTGATAAGCATTTTAGTTCGAAATGGAGATTGAAAAAACCAGTTCAAATATTACGATCATTACACAATAAAAATGGAACTTAATTCCGAATAAATTAGAGTTCTATTCAGAGAAAATTATCTTTAAATGACACCGAGACCCAAACCGCCAATCAAATGCGCACTTTGACGAATTATTATTTTTAGTGTCTTTTTTACAGTAATCATAAATTTTATCGATAAATTCGGCAATTATCCATGTTAAGTCCAAAATTGTACCAAAATTGACTTGTAGAATGAAAACAAATTTGTTTAAAGCAAGATTCTTCATTGAGAAGAATAATTAAATCGGAAGCTTATTCATTTTAGTGTTGATTTACATTTTCATTATCCCGTTTATTGATATATTTCGTCAATGTAAGTATATTTATGTATTTACCAGCAACAACAGTTCGCTCGTTGTTGAAAGCACTCCGATAATGCGATTCAAAATTGTTTTTGTCTTAATATGAACAAACCTTATCATTGTTTTACCCATTGAATTGCAAATTTTCTTAACACTCTGTTTGATAATCATGATTCTAAGACGATATCACCACATATGGGATCAAATGGATACGAGTCATGAAAGATGGCGTTTTTTAATTAATAAAATATGAAAAAAATGCGAGGACAACTGCAAACGTATAAATAATAATGATTAAACAAAATAAATTAGAAGATAAATTAAAATTCATCAGATTTTGCTGGCTAACTAATTAATAAGGCTCTGTAATTTTATTTGATTTGATCACTAATAAAAGTTGTGTATGTGCTTGTTTGTGGTCAATTACAAGATTATCGTCATGCCTAACTTTATGTTACGCCGATGGTCTCTAGTCTAAGATTTTGAGAACTCGAAAATGTTTATTACTGAAATTGAATATATACCTTGATGTAATGGTATTAACAAACAAATTTATTCCCTATTAAACATCAGAGCGCCTAATAACACTCCAGTGTGTTTTCGAAAACAGAACCCTTTCCAAAACGTTCGTGTACGTCTAACCACACTGGCGAATAACCATTTTTTTCAAATGAGAGGTCTTGGCATACGTTCCCGTCTCTCACATTGAGAGGATTTAAATTTATTTAAATCGATTTATGCAATTTTTTCTCTTTAATGAATATTAGAAATTGTAAACTGAGACACCAGAAGTAACAAATTTCAGTATTTTCTTCAAAAAGAATATCTCAAAAACGATTGAGGTTTCGTTCTATTAACTTTAAAATAGATAACTACGTAGCTGGTGAAAAGTCATGTCACTCTAAACATCATTAATATATCAAAATCAAACGCAAGGACAAGAACCTTCTCGAGAGTGAAAGACGATACATTAATTTAGTTATTTATCGGAAGAAACAGAGAATGTTCAATAAATCGTATTTGTCAGAATGCATGCGTTAGATGTTATGGGTTAATTACTTTCAATTAATACTTCGTTGTATTTGTTTATATCAAATGTCGGGCATTTTGATAGTTATAATTAGCTTTTAGGTTGACTTCAGGCTTCATAGAGGAGAAGGAACATCAATTTGCAAAAAAGTCGAGAGGGAGGGGAGAGGAACAGAAGAACGTTGTAAAAGAGACAGGCACAAAGGTAGGAAAAAGGTGAGGTAAGTACTGTGGAATTAGTCGAATATGACATGGAGTCAGGTCATGGTAGTTTGAAATCAGAAGTTAACTGCCGGTTAATAGACCTTTTAGCCGTATGAGCATACGTTGCCCAGGGTGCACCACG